ATACAAACTCCACTGAATAGACATCGAGCTGCAAGAAATGAGCCTTTCAGACTGGATCAGCCTTGTTTTACATCGACGCACCCGTTTTACCCAAAATGCATCGTCAGATTACACTTCCATCTGTGGCCTACGTCACGTTTGTGCCCAAATTAAACCTTTTTCATTTGCGTGCATTGTCACCAGCCTACACCTCGCTGACAAACTGTAGGAGTGTGTTCACAGATGGAGGCAAATCCAGCTCTAAGTACTATAAGAGGAAACTGTTCACAGTTAGAGGCAGAATCATCATTTATTGGTGGTGTGTCCTAAGGGCTAAAGGACTGAAGAAGGTAATAGAAACAGCACTTTTATTGCTGCTACTTGAACATTTCTGGGTCTTTTCTCTCAAAAAGCTCCAAGTTATTGGGTTCAAAAGTCACTGCAGGCCTTAATGAGGAGAAACCATCATGATGCTGTGATTTCCAAACTTTTTCATTGCTGTTTCAGCAGACATTTCAGCTTCTATGTCTTCACACAGAGTTCAGTGTGAGAGATAACCTGGCTGATGCAATTTCCTCACTGGCACCCAGATTGTGTCAACGCTGAAACGCACCTTCTGATCACCAACAGACACGTCCATCTGTGGCTTACGTCACATTTGCGYCTGAATTCTTCGTTTCTGTGGTGCGTGTGTGTGTTGAGACCGGCCTACACCTCTCCCACAATCCGTAAAGCAGACGAAGGCGAGTCTGCACGAGAGGACGTACAACAGCATCTTGTACTCGTGCAGCAAAAATCTTTTGATGCTTTTTTGAATCCAACATTTTCTCGTCTATCTCTGCAGCTGTGGGTGTTGATTGAAGACTTTTCCTCCCACTCTGTGGAGGTACAGACTGACTCATCGACAATAAGATGGAGAGTTGCAAACAAGGAGGAAGAACTGTCAATAATAAAAAAATCTAAAAGTATTTATGGTTTTGAATAAAGATGCGTAACAAAGAAGTGTACAACTTTTGTGTCAGAAAAGGCCAGATTAACAGGAGAAAACTAAAGGAAAAATAGAAAATCTTGATTTAGGTGTCTGAAAATGTAGATTTAGTTAAAGTTCTAGTAACCAACAGGTATCTGTGCAGATACGTAGCTACCTTTTTATGTAGCTTTCTAAGGGTTGTGAGGTGACAAATCTGGGACACGTTKTACGGCACATAGCTTTTCAGCTAACAAAGTTCATCTTCCTCAGAATATTTATGTCAGATGGACATTAAAATACCCCTTAAAAGGAAATGAACCAGACACAGACATAAGTATTCAGTTTAAAACAGTTTTCTCTTTGCAAAGAGTGAGAAGTTTCTGAGGATGCTTAAGACAGGTCTCAGCAGAAAGTTCTGACCTTGGCTGGGGAAAACTGAACAATTTATTACAAACAGAGCACAGAGAAAAACATCTTGACCAATCACAAGGTTGCTTCTTATCAGTTAGAGCAGCTCAAAGCTGCAGAGATGAAAATTATGGCAGCAAGAAAGACACATTTAATACAATTAATTGATTAATGCAATAGGATCAAATATAAAAAATGATAAAGTTTAAAAATATCTATCAATTTACGATACATCCTGATCAGAGTAATTTACTCCTAGAGTGCATTTATTCAAAATAAATTGCAAGTTATGCAGCTGAGATGACAACATCTGCAGTTTTTTGTGAAAATCCTCATATTAATTTCATAAGTTTTGTTTTACAGCTAGATGTTTTTCAGCATTGGAGCCATGCCAATTGGATTTTTTCTCTTGGAATTATTTAAATAATTTAGTCTTTGAATGTGCAGTTCAAAACATCTGTTGGACACTGTCATTACTTTAAAATAAAACATAACTTTTGCACCTAATAATAGTTTTTATACTTGGGAAATAATCTGGCATCACATCCCAGAATGCACCTGAAGCTAACTCAATCCCACTTCATCCTCCTCTTCCTCCTTTTGTTCAAACAATAAAAAAAAATAAAACCACTTCAGGTCAGAGTTGGAAACGAAGCTGCAGCATGTTTTATTGTGTGGGCATGTAAAGTCAGCCCCCCCCCACCCCAAATGCCCACACACCAACTCAGTAAGTTATTTATGGACCACCAACACAGATCTCAGCACACAGTGGCTGATTTATCTTTAAACCAGGTTTCGGCTTTTGTTTTTTCTTTTTGTTTTTTGTTTTTGTTGTATTTTTTAGAATTGTCTACACATTTTTGCCTCTTTTATCACTTTAAAAGCCGAAAAATGAAAGGTTTTAATTGCATTTTATAAGAATCATTATTCTTGCTGCACGTTTAATCTATACTGTGATAATTGTTAGTAAATCTCTCTGATCTTAATAGTCTCAGTGTTTTCTTTCAGCGATCTGTTCCACTAGATCTGTTACAAAAGGACAACTGATATTAACAACTTTTAAAAACTGTTACGGCCAGAGGTCTTTCTTCTATGTTTATACTAAAGCATGGAGTGACATTCCTCAAAACATAAAGTYCATTTCAAAACTACAGCCCTTTAAGAAGAATCTTGTCTGCCATCTGCTGGACACTTTWTGTTGTGCTCATATTTAGACGTCCTATTTTGCAAATGCTGCCTTCCTGAAATTTGGTATGCTTGTTTGTCTTTGTGTCTATGATGTAATAATAATGATGTGATTGTGATGCTGTAATTCTGTGTTTTATGTGCTGCAGAACAGGAACCTGCTGTAAAACAGCAATTATGCTGAGTCAGGCTTGATTTTAATCTTTTCCTGTTAAATCAATAAATCAAATCAAATCAAATCAAGCATCACTCGTGCTCCTGATGATCAGAGATGGTTTCTGTCTCACTCCACCTCCACAGGGATGCCCTTCTCTTCCAAAAGGAGAACTTGATAGCAGCCCTGACCATACAGCCCACCCACACCTTTTTTTTGCGTCACTCTCGCACTTCAACTTTCAGACACCAAAATAGGCWATTCTTCCGCTGAATCATGAGGTTTCACCATGTTTGGCAGCCATAGCCAGCTTTGCTCGTGTGTTATTCATCCTTGTTCCGTGACCCCTGCGTCACTGAAAACGTTCWGCATCTTTCCGCCAGCATTGGAAAGAAATCTTATTTGTTTATTTAGTTTGTGTGAAGGTTTTTAAATAGACTTGATGTGGGCTTTTCTTTTGAGGAGAGGAGGCAATATTGCAAAAGTCATGGCTTTATTCTAAAAGTATGTATTTATTTCTCTTGATTCATTAAGTATTTCTCCTTTTATGCCATTTTGATTTTAATACATAAATTGGCCTCAGACATAAATGAATAAACTCACTTTTTAACTGGATTGGTCAAAATAACAACAACAATATAATGTAACCGAGTGTTTTTTTTTTAAATTAATATTTTTTATTATTCAATTTGAATCTGTAAATCTGTTAAATAAAAACATTTCAATGTCAAAATCAGTTCTTAGAAGATAGATTCCTGTTTGGTGTGTGAACCTTTCCAACCTTTCTTTTTCTTTGACAGTTGCTTAAGTTTAAAAAAAGCTCCAGTTCTTAGTAAATATCTTTTTAATTTGATTTAGACGTTTTTAGCTCCACACATGAATTGCATTTTCTACATTTTGACTGATTTTAGAATCACTTGTGCCCAAAAAGGTTTTGAGCAACTCCTTTTGTATTTTTCAAATCAAMCATTCTTGCGAGTTCTAAAGTGGTCTTCATCCAAATCATTCCAGATGTTTTAAAAGGACTTTTAAAAGAAGTGTTTTTTGTTTTGTTTTTTTACCTTTGGTTGAGAAAAAAGAGAAAAATATTTGCAGTTTTAAAAACATTCGTAAATAAGTTAAACTTAGCAGATGACGCCAAACTACTTTTGTAAATTTATCAGTCACTGGTATTTAGTCTTTATGGTTTTTGTTGACAGAACACGGTTTCATTGGTTAGAGGAATTCAGCTCTTTCTGCTTCACTGGTTTAGAAGTCAAAGGTCAGTGACAAGTAGCTACACTGACTGACTGACTGACTGACAACAAAGTGTGATAATGAAGAGATATGGAGATTAGACCGAAGAAGTGATTCTTACCCCACTAAAAAAGACAGATTAAAATTTTATAAAACAATTGTGGCTACAGGTTTCAAGATTTTAGTTACACCTATGCCTATAAAACTTTCTTTTTCCTTTTTTTTATTTTTTTGTGTGTGGGGGAGCACAATGGTACAAAACTCTGTTGAAGGATTAGAGGCAAATGAGAAAAATAAATAAGTACTTATATGAAATTGCTCATGTCTGAAGAACTGTGGGACCTGCAGGACCTTGATCCCAAYATTCTCCATTGTTGCTGTTTTTGAACGACCTTCCTGCAGAAAACAAAGCTTTCTCGCTTTACACACGAGGACCTCGAGGTCATAATATTTCTGCACAGCAGCTGTCTGTGAGTAATATAAAAGCACAGACAGTGTAGAGCATATCACTGAGGTGATAGCTTTTTTATGTAAGGATGACTATAAATTAGATAACAGTGTCTGCCTATAGACGTCGAGTCTTTCTATCACATCTGCAGAGCAGCTTTTATTTTTATTTTTTTACGTTTACGCCCATGACTGCGCACAAACAGTTCGTCCACATTGCCACACAGACACTTGTATAACCTTTTAGATAACAGCCGGGCAGCTCTGAGCTTCTCTGAGCCAACCGCTGCCACCGCTTCATTCACCGGCATCCCCGTCGTAGCGATTTGCTCCCTCCCGCAGCAGCCGTGGGTTTCCATGTGCCAGCCTTACATAAAACGACTGACAGCGGCAACGACCAATCACAATGCGGTGCGGCAGCAACAAGCCACGCCTTTAACCACCATCTTAACGTTGATTGGTTCGAGTTTCTGTGAGGTAAAGACTGACGTCTGTATCAACCAATCGTTGCTCAGCGGTGGGAGGTGTTTACGGAGGGGGCTCGTTATGAGGTCATTGCTTGCGTTGAAGACTGTAGTGTGGAGACTTGGGGCAGGAGTTTGTCAGAGCAGCGCTGGACCATTGCACCGGCTGAGGAGTTCATCAAAAGAGGGATTTTTTTTTTTTACTTCACCGGAAGTGGCCGGACTGACGTCGTTGTGTGAGGTACGTGAAGTTTTACTCGCGTGTTAGRGATGTAAAGGCATTTCAAACCGGGTAAAATGAAGCCAGGTTAACAAACCGTGGGGATGTTGTTGGATGGACTTTATGCCAGGCGCTGCGTGGAAACTTGGCACGAGGAGGGCTGCGGACGGTCCTCGCGCTGCGGTTACGTTGCGACCTGGACGGTGATGTCAGAGTGAATTTCGGAGCACGGCGCGTGCTTCTCTTGTGTCAGCGTCACATGAAAACTCCAGCGTAACCCCCTTACATAAAGTCTGCTGCTGCAGCACGCCGCATGCCAACTCCTGGAGTTACAGAATCAACCCATTCATTCATTCAAACCGTTCAATAAAACATTAAAACAGAACCGCTGGATTTAGCTCATAAAACGAAAAAGGCAGGGATGACGTAATAAAACATCTGTTGTATATGTGCAAGCACTTACTTTCAGGTTCTGGCACTAAAGCACGGAGCTAAATGAATTTCTTGTGTTTAAGAAGCAGTGGGCTGATGTGGCCAAATGAAGTGTGGCCTTTGTGACYGGAGAGGGAGGAGAAAACATGTGTGACGCACGTCAGGGCTGGCTGGGGATAACACACTTAGATCTGTTCATCTTAATGTTGATGGTTCCCCACCCACAGCTGCCTGAGAGCTCACAGGAAGATTTCCATTACCTAATCAGAGAAATGTCAAGTAAAAGATGATGTTAACGCTCTCCTGCAAACCACCACGTTTGTATGAACATGTTCAAACTGTGTTTGTAAACATAAGATTCAAGCATCATGTTTAATAAAATGTTGACAGATCAAAGCAGCCACTGCACAGCTTTTAAAGTCATAACTGTAGGACTCTTGCTACTTTATGGGAAGGTTCCTGCCTGGACAGTCAAAAAAATAAAAAAAAACTACATAATAAAATAAAATGAAATGAACACCTCTTGTTTCCCTAAAGAATTTGACATTTTAACATTTTAACCACGCTGACACATGGAGACACTGTACAGCTGATCATTATAAAACAATAGGAGACCGTGTAAGAACGTATTGATAACTGAAATATTGCAATATTTAAAATTCTGGTACTATATTCTCAAAAGTATTATTGATTTTTAAGTAAGACTTTATGGATGGATGTTAAGAAGAACAGTTCTCACTGTTCTGTGTTTTTCTCATTTCACAAAAGTACACTTAATTTAATCTGATTTTTTTTTCTTGTAATGCATTGTGTACTCTTCAAACTGAGTTTTTTTTAATTATTTGAATCCTTTGGAGAAAAAATGGCAATACATTGCCTTGCTTACAAAATCGCAATATATGACCCCAATACACAGTCCTTCACAAAAGTTTAAAATATATTGCATTTCTTTTCAAAACCACAGGAGATTATTTGTTGCAGGTTGGTAAAATGTTATCAACTTCTATTTTTATAGTATACTGTACTGTATGTGTTTGAGGTCGCTTATGAAGTAATGTTCATAGAAGAAGTATCTTTTTACTTCGAATCCTGGCTGAATAGAAAAGGAACATCAATTTTTTTTTCCATAACAAGGGTTAAAACCAGAACATTTATTACAAATTGTTTAACAGGCCTCTTTATTCAGCTGTTTATAAAACTGTTGCTGTTTTACCTCGCTACCTTGATGACAACGTAGGCTGTGCCTTAATGTAGTCCGGCACCACTTAGCRATAACGTGATTTGTTTGAATCGATTTTTCATCCAAGCCCGTAACGATTCTGATACGTAAGCAGAACGTCAGCGGTGTTCTCATTAGCACCTTGATTGCATTAAAGTGAGCACAAATAGCAATTTAGAACCTTTTAACTGTGTTATCTTTCTCACCTTGTTAGACACTTTTCTCTGTGTTTTTTGCCTCTGGGACATGTGCAATTGCTTTTCCGACTGGTTGCCAGACCCTGTGTGCTTTGATCAGGAACCAGTAYTGAGCCGTGCCCCATCCTTCAGAGTTTCACCGCTGTGAAGGGACAATACAGAAACCTTAAATCTGAGAGAAGATTAGAAAGTAAGATCCCTCGTTAATGTGATTTAGATGACTGAAAGGCAGTTTCCCACAGAGACATAGAAAATCCAGGTTATTGCCKCCTCTGCTTTCTTTTTGTGCATCTGCTCAGCTGAGTGGGATGGATTTATTGACAGAGAAGAAGTCAAATGAATTGACCTCAGAAACCCTCGGTGCAGAGGTGCGTTGGACGCCTAAAGGGTCTCACCGGACAGTTGAAGACAGTTAGGGAACGATCAATATTTGGTAAAAAGAGCCGTTTCAGACCTTCTTTCTATAATTAAATAACTTACAGACCCATTATATAGCRATTGTTACTATTCTGATTAAGTTTTAATTTCTCCAAACAAACATTTCATCATTTGTGTGTTTGAACTATTTTATTGRTATTAAACAAGTATTTAACATGCAGGTAGTCAAAGTCCTCATAAAAAACATGCACTCCTTCGTTGGCTTATTATGTAGAAGGTATTGCTTGAAACACATAAACCAGATGATATTGTTAAAATTGTGTGTCTTGGTGCCTTCACCATTGTCACATTGTTTAAACTGCTGAACGTGCAAATATCTGGTTACATACAGAATTTATAATATATATTGATGTGCAGACATCCCTTGCAGCTTTGCCGTCCAYCTCTTTCTGTTTCCTGGTGCTGAGTCAGCAAATTTGCAGTGGCTGCGAGAGCAAACGAGGTGAAAGTCTGGCACGTTGTTTAACTAGTGCAAACTCTTGGACTGCAGTTGGACACATTGTCAGACAGCTGCCTCAGCAGGGCGGAGAAAATCTCCTCCGACCCCTCCCATCCTGGCCAAGCGGCTGCCCTCCAGCAGGTCTTTAACCCACAGACTTAAAAGTTTTTTTTTTTTTTGTGGGTCATCAAGACTCTGATTTCAGCCCAACAGCTTCATGTTGCTCAGATGTTTTTGATGTAGTTTGTTTGATATTGTTGTGTGATGATGACAAAAACTATATTCGTTCATTCAGCTCCTAACCTCTGGACCAGACTTAGGCATTAGTTGCTTCAGCTGCACTTTTCACTAAAAAAAAACAGGTCTTCTTAATAAAATCCCTGTGCAGCACTTTCTGTGCAGAATGGTCCCTCTGTACAATCAGAAGGTTACATGGTGGACCTGTGTCTCATAAAGAGCTAAGTGCTGTGCAAGAGATGAGTCATCAATAAACTTTTTTCTTCCTGTTTAGTTTCCAAACTGCAACCTCTGATTGTCTCTCACTGATCATTCGCTCAGACTGCACACTGACCCAGTTTACTTGGCAGTGCTGACTTTCAAATGAAGTCTCTTTTTAAGGCCAGTGATAAGAGGACGGGTGAAAATGTCTGTCTGTCATCTGATAAGATGAAAAAAATCTGTTAAATACTGATTTATTTGTTTTGGTGCTGTTGAATTACCACTTTTTTCAAGTTAGAATTAGAGACAACATAAAACACAATTTATTAGTTATTTATTTAATTATTTATTTATTTTTTGGCTCCTTTTTTTTTTTTTTTACATCCACACATACTTCACTAAGTGCCAAGGTTAGTTGTCACGACATCTGCAACACATCTTCAAACAACAACCATGAGTGACGCACGAGAGAGGTTGCATAAAAGACCTTCAACATGTTCGGGCTCGAAGCCTAAAAGAAACTCGGTGAAACGAAACACTCATCCCCGTTAAGCTCAGTGAATCGAGAAACTTCACTTGTTCCATTACAGCGATGAGCTGAAGGTGTAACGCAGGCCTTTTCACCTTTTCAGCTTGGGAAGCAGTCAGGTAGGACGCTAAATACACACGCTTGTGTCTTTTCACGTGTTGCCCTGAGACGTGGTTGTGAGAATGATCACGTATTTGAGTTTTACTCCGAATTAATTCTGATCATGATGATGGAAGTTTAAATGTAATTTGCAACTGAACTCACCTGCTTTACTGCACGTCTGCGGCTGGTTACAAAATTTTGTTATAACCAGGATGATAGCAAATATTTGTAAAACAAACCAGTGCTTTCTTCTTTTTCATTAGGGTTTGCACATCTAATTAACCCTGAACAGGACATGTTCCAGGGTGGTTGTTTTCAGTTAGATTGTAACTTGTTAAATCTAAAAGCTCTTGCTCCTGGTTCATTGACAAAGTATTTATTTTTATTTGGTCATGATTGCCTTCTGGTTTTCTTTTTGTTTATTCAAAACACACCAGTGTTGGTGCTTCAAATAAGAAGAATGCGTCACTTTCTGTTAGCGCAGGGGTCTGCAACCTGTGGCTCTGGGGCCGCATGTGGCTCTTTGGTCCTCTGCAGTGGCTCTTTGAAAATGTGACCAAACATAACAGCATTTTTTTTGTTGTGGTTATACCCACAACAGAAATCAGTTTGTATGCAAATATGTGATCAAAACTAATATAAAAGTAAAATATGTTAGCTCGTCTTAGCTTGTTGTTTACTTAAATATTCCAATTCATTTTTATGATCTTTCTCTCAAATCCATCAGAATTACCTTTAAATAATATGAAGACTACATAATAAGAAGAAGAATTAGAAAAAAAATATGCCTGAATAATTCAGTTGTACTAGTTTTTATGAAATTCTGTACAAATATACATTATTTTTCTTGTTTGCATGAATTTGGTCTTTATATTTGTCCTGATGTGTATAATAATAAAAATAATAATAATATTTTTTTAGTTTTAAAGTGTCACCTCCAATGACCATAAAGGTTCCCGAAAAGACCTTGAAAAAGGCCCACGGACCAGCAGTTGATATTCTCAGTTGTAGCTTGTTTCGCGGCTCCGAACACATTTTATTAGTGAGACRAGGAGCAAAAATGGCTCTTTTGATCATAAAGGTTGCAGACCCCTGTGTTAGTGGAACCATTTCAAGTTGATACTGTTTGGAAATCTCACATTGAACTATATTCTGCCTGAAACCTTGATTTGCAGATTTACAAGTTCATTTGAGGCCACATGTAACAGGACAACAATCCATGCTGTTTGCTAGCAACGTTTAATGGAGGTCAAATAAATCTTATCTAGTTTCTTTGAGTTCATCAGTGAAAGCAATCCTTTGAAATGGTCAAAGGGGACAGACCCGCTGCTCTTTGAAGGGCATCACAGGCTTTTTACAGAATGTCAGAGACACCTACAGGGGTCCTCAGAGGTCAGGAGTCGAACCCTTCGATGTGCTCTGATATGAAACCAGACTAAAGGGACAAGTGATTTTTTTAAGAACTGATGCAGCTTTTTTTTTCTTCCATGTCGTGTCTATGCACGAGTGTTGGTCTATAAAAATATATAAATGTCATTTAGTTTAAAAACCTTGCTAGTGTTTCTTGTGTTGAATGAATACATTATGACTGAACACTTGAAAAGCAAATATTTGGTTTTTGTTCTTTAGTTTGATCCCATGTCAAATCAGACTTGTCCTGATCAGACTTTTAGTTTCCTAACGAACCTGTCCACAAAAGAGCTGTGCCATTTCAAACCACTGGAATCAGAATCAGAATACTTTATTGATTCCCGGGGGGAAATTGCAATTATTACAGCTGCAACCGTTCAAGTAAGCATTTGAGAAAAAACAAAAGGAAAAAAACATTTGAGCACACTGGGAAAAAATAAGTATAAACACAACAATAAGCATACTTTGGCATCTATACAGTGTAAATAGAAAATGAAAACAGTGATATACTCTAAAAATAAAAACAGTATGGCTGATGCAGAGGTCCCATCAGATATTATTAGATCAGGGCTATTCAACTGGCGGCCCGCGGGCCACATCCGGCCCACGAGTGACCAAAGTTTGGCCTGCCAATTGKTTCATTCATCTCTTAAGCTCAAAACCCCAGTTTTCTACTTTAATAACTTTAAGTTCTTTTAGTTCGACATCCACATGTTTGGTGTCTACAGAACCGTCAGAATCGTGGCTACAAGCTGGTAAAAACCATTTCTATGCACACCAAAGACAGTTAAAATGACAAGCAGTTGAAGATAAAACTCTGAAAGTCAAAATAAAATTAGTTAAAATTTTTGGCAAATCAGAGATGTCAAAATAATATTTGTGTCAAAYGGGTATAACATGTTCTTTTTGATTTTGAAATTGTTTATTTATCACTACTTTTATTGGGTTATGTATGTTGTAATCATGATTAAATGCAGCAAAATAAACTATTAAGGTAACAGATCTTTGTAATACTTGGTTTATTTACATAATAACTTTAATTCCTGGATGTCCGGCCCCTGAGCTGTTGACCTGCAGTAACTGTGGCCCCCGAACCAGTTTAGTTGAATAGACCTGGATTAGATGATATAAGAATAGGTGATGAATAGATTAAGGTGTCATTGGTAAATAAAGTACACAGATGTATTAAAGTGACAGATGGTTTCACATGTTTCGGGCAGAGAAACATGTGAAACAAACATTCCATATAAAATAAAAATGTATAGTTAGATTTTTTCAAAAATACATAAAAAGATGACTTATTACTAACATATATTATCCTCTTCTGTCCACAGATTAGTCTTCGTCCCTTCATTCCGCTGTCACACCTGTGAAAATGGGGTGATTGTCCCGTTTCCTTGTAACTCACTTGGAGCAAGTCCAGGATAACTCTCCTCCTGATGTCCAAGGATTCAAACTCCAACCCCTATTGCTTCCCCGTGCAGACGGAGCAGGATGCAGCCTGCAGAGCATCCGCTTCAAGCAGCTCCATCTCAAGTGGTGCCTCCGGCTGCCTCTCCATGGCGCAGCTGCGCTGGGTGGGAGGCTACAGCCAAGGTGGGCCTGACCTGGGCCTGCCTTCAGAGGGCAGCGACAGCAGCGGTCAGGATCCCGCCGTCTCGCTGCGCAACRTCCGCAAGAACACACGCTCTCGCCTGGTCCCCGAGGAGGACGTGGAGATGAAGAGCAGCGGGTCCAGTGGGAGCGGGACCGAATCGCATGGAAATGAAAGCCATGGCAATGAGAGTCGCGGGCATGAGTCAGTGGGCAGCTCCAATGGACACAGCAAGGACTCAGCGCTGTTGGAATCCTCAGGGAGCAATAAAAGGTATGTGATGACTGTGGGAATGATGAAACCTTTTCTCCAGCATAACTGAGTTCTTGACACTTTTTTTCCCCAAAACCACCTGTTTTTGGGCAGAACACTCTGAGTTTTTAAAAAAATACTTAAATACAAATTAATTTATTTAAATAAATTTAAATTTAGGTAAAACAAAAATAATGTAAGGACATTTGATGGAAAGTAAATACTATCAAACCAGTTTTGTCTAATTATAATGTAGTTTATTAYAATCCATTTAACAAATCAAGTATATTGGCATATAAAAGTTTTAAATGGGAGAAATGTCCAGTTTAAGTAGCAGGAGCTTGACATCAAATCTTCAAATTGATGCAATCCTGTGTTCTCAGTGTCCTTGGGTTGGTGGGCCTTAGGAAAGGAAAACTCTTGCAAAACTTTCARTCCTGAACCAAACCTTCTCAGAGCTCTCCTAAGCTAAGGCCAAGTGTTCTTTCAAGAAATTCATATCATCTATTGCCTTTTATGTCTGACTTTTAGAGATTATCTTATAATGAAAAGTTGTGAAGTTACTGCCATCTTGGAAATCCAGTGGGWTCTGTTTTATTCAGAACAGTGCATTATTATTTTCTACAAGTTCATGMGATATTTCAATAAGAGACAGACAAGCAAAGACACAGAAACACAGTCGTCCAATTTTACCTTTTGGCAGTTTGAGATAATTAAATGTTCTGATTTATCTTCCTTCACTCATTTACCTCTAATATCCCGAGCAATGACTTTGATGCAGCATCWGTGGCGTAGACATCTGCCAGCGGGTCAACAGAAAAAGTAACGGCATTAAAGCCACACAGCAGCAGACATGGTTTCCAAATTAGAGTCAGACCTCATTAAAATCACTGAAGGTTCTGTTGGTCACGCTTTCTTTCATTTCCTTTCATAACTGATGCCAGTATTTTCATACAGACTGGGTAAAATGGATAATTCTGTCCTGTTTATTTTTATTTAACTGTTTTTAGGTCATAATAAATGCAGCTATGAGGACCGGATCTTTCTCAGTGCTGACTAATGTCAGCAGATGGGTTAGCTAGCCAAAGCTTTAATGATGATGACAACAAGCTCTTGTTCCTTTTGAAATAAATAATTAACCTGCTTTAATTATTTTTTCCCGCCATAAGTGTCCCCATGCAAATTCAAACAGTGAACAAGTGATTGTAAAATGTCACTGCTTTAAATGACAGCTGAACATTTTATATAAATGCCAGCAAAACTAAAGCCGCCCATCAGACATCTTCTGTCAACACAAATATTACAAATCAACTTTAAGAAAATTATTGAGCTTCTCTTGGTTTATGGTCTGAAAAACCCTCAATAATCGACTGTAGATCTGATGCCAGCACACACTGCTGTCAGGTCTGGTCTCTGCAGGGAGCAGCTGGTGGCTGTTTTTGGCGGACAGAATCTAGCACGCAATCATGTTTTGTATTTTCATCTTGATAATGAAAACGTCTGCAACGTGAAAAATAATCAGATATGTTGTCAGATTTATTGTTGCACTTTCATGTTCTCTCTTTCATCGGCTGTGGTTGGGCTGAAAGTGGCTCAGCACCAACACACACAGGTTGTTTTTCAAACCATGAAATAACAAATTTAAGCATTTCTTTAAGAGATAATTTCATTGTGGATGTTAGGATTCTCAAATGTGGAGCGACCTTCAACCAGATTATTTGTTCCTCGTAGTCAAAGGAATTTGATGAGTCAGCGGTTTTCAGACTCCTTGTTTTTGGTTATAAATAGGCACACACGCTGTGCAGCTTGCCCCGGAGACGACGGAGCAGACTGAAAAAACAACAACAGTAAAACACTGAATTGATGTCATGTAGGAGGCTGGAAGCTGGCTTCACCAGGATACCAACTGGGTTGTGTCATGGTTTCCATCCTCCTGTTACCATGAAGATGTAATGTTTATGCCTGTTTATCTCGGGGTGGAGCAACCCAGTCGCAGGCTTTGACGTCCGTCCACTCCCTGCCAGCCATGCCTCGCTTGCTTCACTCGAGCCTTTAAATCCAGATCTTTTCTTTTCAAAACCACTCCTCCTTCCTGTTTGATTAGTATCCATCATTAGTTTCCTTATCTGCTGGCAGGATGACGTTTTATTACACCTCCCTTTGCCCATTGCCCTCAGTTAACCCTCGGTTCTAWTGGACTTTTATTCATGACAGGAAATGCTTTACTTAAAGAACTGTTTTAGCTTCTCTTGTTAKCCCTCTCTTAATGCAGGTCACAGCTTGTTCCACCTGATTTGAAGCTGTGTTTTTTTTTGAACAATGTATATCTTTTACAAAACATTACATAAATATTTTTTGATTTAGTTTTCATGAAACTTGCAGAAAATAATCAGTGGATGTTTACAGCAGAATAACTTTTGAAGTCAGCCCCATTCAAGATGGCTGCCAGAAGCAACTGACCCCAAAAAAAAAAACATTAAATTAATTATAATTCCATTGATTTTCCAAATATTGAACTAAAGTTTGGTATTGTATTAACTGGGAGTCATCCCATCATATGTTCTGAGCATATATCCAACACAAAATGGCTAATGAGCTTAATGAGCTGAGAAACTTGAGAGAAAGCAGAACTCTAGATTCATTTTAAGCATATTTTGAAACTTCTTAAAAGAAACAGGAAAAGTGTGTTTGAAAGCAGCTGTCCCTATATTCTCAGCTGTCTGACATCCTGCTGTCGCCACCTACACAAAGGGTGTGGGGCACATTTTCAGAGCAGTTACAGCTCTTGCTTTCTCTGCTGCGCGAGTCAAACTGAAAAAAAAAAAAGATGAGCGGTAAAGGCAAACACATTTTCCAGATAAGATGTGGTTTAGCCAGTATTTTACTCAGGTCACTGTTTTCACTTTCAAAGAGWTAAAATAATACCAAATCATAATTACTGTGCACTTGTTTGGAAATGACGTCCACATTCTTGCAGCGTTTTGCTAAAGGAGTAACAGATTCAGGAGGGTTTGTGAAATTAGGTGGTAAAATGAAATCAAAATGCTGATAAAATAATATGAAAACAGTTTAAAAGACAAATGTAACATCACATCTAAAACTGGAGCAGTTTGAACTGGAAACATTACACTGCAGCTTTTTATCTCATKGACCTGCAGCTTTGATTGAAATGGGTCGTGTAGTTTGATGAATCAGTGCTGCTGATTAAAGTCCAAAGATAAAAAAAAAGGTGGTAAATTTAGCCACACACTGTGCACTTTATAAATGTAAAGGCTAAATAAAACAAGTTAAACTTCCTCTCCCTTTTTATGTAACATGTTTCCACGACTCACAGACTCCCTGCTGCAGTTTGAATGAGCTTTCTCWGAACTAATACATGTTCAGACTGTCTAAAACCAGCTGTTGCCTTCTGCAGGACTCAAACCTATTTTCAGCAGATTTAGATCCTAAACCTGGGCTTGTAGAGGCTATTTGTAAACACGTTGTCTATTCTTAGCAGGTAATGAGGATAATTATAGCAGCTTGAGTTGTAACGTAGGTGAGTCAGTTAATCAGACAGCTGTTAATAGACTTTCATTAAGCCTGTTGGCTAACAATCTACAGTATGTAAACAAGAAGAGGCGCTGTGTGGCCTTCAGGCGGAGAATTTTAAAATGACAAACTTCTGACAGACCTTGTTTTTATTTAGGACAGACCTCTTCACTACAATGTCAAGTGCTGATAAACTGATCCAGTCTAAAACCACCTGCGGGGTTTCTGAGAGCCCCCACATGAGCTGTTTTATTTAGACRCCGTAAGCCTGTTACACACATTAAGCTGCGTTAAAGTGAGTCAGTGTTATTGAAGGCTAATGATTGTAGTGTTTCAGTGCAGTGCCAAGGTTCCGGGAAATACCTTAGATCAGGCACACACTCCTGCGCTCACTGAACCGACACAGAAAACGGCAATGTTTCACAACTCTGTAAACCTTTGGGTCTGCATTATGGCCTTTTCCAAAACAGACAGAAGTTATTCTGTAAATGTAGAAATACTGTTTGCTATCTTAATGTTATAATAATATCTAAACACAAAGAGTTTGAGGAAGAATGCAGTTTGTATTTAAGTACTCCAGGAAGTATGCTTAAATAGGACAGCAATGAGGATTGTCAATTGCTTTTTTAATTGTCTGAACTGTAGTGTAGTTGAAGTCAAATTGGAAGAAAACTGTTTAAAAAAAACTGTAAATATGGTTTTAAAATCTGAGCACCATGAGTGAAAGTAGAAAACTGTAGCTGCTTYGGCCCCCAGTTGGGTTTTGGCCTCTCACTCCTGCTTTTTTCTGTGCTCATGCTGCGCACCCACTGAGGCAGGATTTAGGACAGACTTCAGGTTGAGGGTGCGATTTCTTTTAGAAGTTAGTTGCTAAATGAGACGTGAAACTTCACACACACTCTTCCTCCTTCACTGTCACAAAGGGAATCAAAAAGAGCAACTCGCCCTTATTTTAACTTCCAAAGTGCGAAAGTGAAGTGAGGACACTTGTTTCTATCAATGGAAACTTTTGTATGCATGTTAAATCCATGTGACAAGTTTGTGCTTTTGAAACATTACGGACAAAACAGGTGTGAACATTTTGTGCCTTGTTATTGTGCTGCTGTGAAAACAGGCTCAGAAGGAGGCTGGCGGAAAAAAGAAACACAGCGGCAAATCTCTCCTTTTTCCTGGAATTGACGTAATTTTACTCAACGTTGCAGATGCTCATTCATCCTGTTTTTTTTTTTTTTTATTTCTCTCCTGCACAGTTCGAACTCCCACAGTCCATCTCCACCGAGCAGCTCAAACGCCTACAGTCTGCTGAGCTCAGAACAGGACAACCCTTCGACCAGCGGCTGCAGGTTAGTGCACGGACCGTTACAAGGACCAACAAAGCAGCTTCCAAAACCTTATTGTTCAGAATTTAGCGTTTTTTAGAGCTTTTTGTCTCTCTTAGCATCATAACTGAGACTCATCGTTTTCACATGTCTGCCTTGCAGTAGTGAGGAGTCTGCCAAAGCCAAGAACCAGAAGGAGGTGATTAAAACTCTGAAAGAGCTGAAGCTCCACGTGCCCGCTGACAAGAGACACAACAAGTCCACCACACTGAACACCCTCAAGTACGCCCTCCGCTGCGTCAAACAGGTGGAAGGTGAGTAGTTCATTTAAATTATCTACCTTTAGTCTATTTTTATCTTTTTTCTTCCCGTTACACACATTCACATTAAAATACAAAAAAAAAAAATTTCTGTCAGTGCTGCACCACAGAAAAGGAAATCTTTCTTCAAAAACTTTGTTCACCTTGAAATCTTCTTCGGTACACGTTTTAACCTACCTTTAACTTTCAGCTAGCCTTTTGCTCCCTTTAGCATTTAGCTAGCATTTTGCTTCTTTCAGCTTTAAAGTGCTATATAATTTAAAATCAACTTTTTTCGAGTTTTATATCATGTTATAATGTTATCCTCTCCTCAAAAACATGCCCAGAGTCTTACTTTGACTCATTCATGCATGTTTGAGAAATCCTGTAGTGTCCTGAGGTGGCAGGCAGAGGAGAAAAATGACAGGTTGGGACTAGAACCGCCTTTTGGGACCAGCTCCGCCTCTGGGCTGTGTCTCCAAGCCGAGCTTCCTCATCACGGAGCACACCTCTCCACCCCCGCACCCTGCCTGTGACTCCTGCAGGCTCTCGGCAGCAACAAAGCAAACAACTGGTGAAACTGAAAGTGAAACTGAAACTGTCTGCTGAGCTCCCAACACTACTTCTGAGTGCAGCCCTTTTCAAATTCGAAATACCTTTGAGGGAAAGTATTTTCAGATGCCAGGTAAACTACACTGAGCTTCCATATCACAGCACAACCCCCATCCCCACCCCCAACCCCCACCTGTTGAAATGGGTGGGACAGAAGTGGAAGGAGGTTCTTAAAGAGACAGGGACCAATTTCAAGGCGTTTAGAAGAGGAAGTGAGGAGAAGATAAGTTTATTTTCTATTTAAACATAAAAACAGCATTTTAATAACAACTAAAGGTGACATAGATACTTTATTATGGTATAGAACTTAAATATATGCCTGAGAAACACATAATATTGCCCCTTTAACAATTAAATTTCAGCATCTTCAGCAGCTTCTCTAAAAAATGTCTTTGAATTTTGTGTGAGTGTGTTGTCTTTCGATTTATATTATTACTTATAGATTTATTTTTAATATCACGTGACATTTTGTAAGAAATTTTATTTTGAGTTGTGTTTTGCTTAAACTCAAACACATCTTCTTTCAGCCAACGAGGAGTACTACCAGCTACTGATGAGCAATGACAGTCAGCCATCAGGCCTGGACGTTTCTTCTTATACCATAGAGGAGATAGACAGCATCACCTCTGAGTACACACTCAAAAACAACGTGAGTATTTTTTAAATAAACTGAGCAATCATTTAAGGTGCAGCAGTTGGGTAAGACAAATATGGTTTCGAATGTTGTGTCGTCAACAGGATATATTTGCAGTCGCGGTGTCTTTGATCACCGGAAGGATTGTCTACATTTCCGACCAGGCAGCCTCCATCCTCAACTGCAAACGAGAGGTGTTCCAGGACTCCAAGTTTGTGGAGTTTCTGATACCGCAAGATATCAGCGTGTTCTACAGCTTCACCACGCCTTACCGCCTGCCATCCTGGAGCATGTGCACCGGAGCAGGTACCAAAGCTAATTATCGCTCTGCAAAATTCAATAGCTTGATGACCACTTTCTTCTATTAACCCATGATTCAGGATGACCATAGCAACTATTTGACCTTGCGCAACACAAAAATTGCTATATTCTAGTCTGTTTTACAGATATTGAGATCAAATTTGGTGTGGTAGTAGCTGAAAGTTATMCTCTGAGACTGTGCAAGATCTCTGTTAAAAACAAGTTGAAAGGAAATTGTTAAGCGTGTTCGTTTACCATTTTATGTGATTGAGCCAAACATAAAATGTACCAAYACATGGATATTGAATGTAAAAAAGTTCATGCAACACCACACAGAGCGCTCGGGCTGAAGGCAGTTAATTCTCAGTCTGTGTTCAGGCCTCGTTTTCAGACATTTCAATATAACAACAACTTCAGGACATGACTCCGCCTATTTTATTACATCATCAGGATGGACCCTAACACTGCTCGAGTCATGCCCGCTCACAATCCTAATGAAGACCAACGGTTCAGTTATGTGTTGGATCTGTGTTCCGCCATGAATCTACATCAAGTCCCACAAATAACAACATTATAAGAGATATTACTGTTCTCCTAATTAAAAGAATATACCATGTGTAGTGTAATTAAAATCAGTATATGAGCAAACCCCAATAAATTTCTTCAGAGTGATATGCATTTCTTTAAGGAATGCTTTTTTTATTCCATCCATCCATCTTTTACACACTTTTCCTTTCTGAGTTACATAATAGTTTTGTTTTTCCTTACTGGCATTAGTAGAGAAGTTGGTTTTAATGACGATCGAGTGAAATTACAGAGTAAACGATGAATCAGATGTAATTTTCTCAAATTTGCCACAAAAACAAGTCTCCTCCACCCTTCAGTTCAGTGCATTACGTCACATTGGTGATAATGGTACTTTTTAGTTGAGCATGACAAAACAGATTTCATTTTGTTCAGATGGCAAAGAATTATTTACAATTGATTATTTATAAAAATGAATCCTTTGTAAAACACCTGGAGCTACTTTTTTTGACTTTCTTGGAAACACTGGTTAGCAAACCAAATTAACTTGACTCTGTTTAAATTCATTGCACAAACAGGATGTGAAGGTCCGCTCACATAAACAGTGTTTTATAATGCAAATATTCAAACCTCACATCTGCCCAGATCCTGCCAGTCAATTGACTGGAATAGGCTGCCTTTGAATTAAAACATTCCTTTTCCAATTTCAGAGTCCTCTACGTCTGACTGCTTACAGGAAAAGTCCTTTTTCTGTCGTATCAGGTGGGTCTGTGTTGCTTCACACACCATCAGGCCATCTGCTGCTCGTACCCAATTTCTACTTTATATTTATGCTTTCAACCCAGTCGAGAGGTATTTGTAATTAGTTTGTGACATCACAAGCGTAAAAGTTGTTATTGGACACTTTTTTTGCCAGGTTAATGTTACACACACACACACACATGAAAAACACACATTGCATTTGTCCAGGTGCAACACTGATTTGATTTTTCTTTCCATGCAGCACCTAATGTAAAATTAAGTTTTCTGCTGCAACTATTTTTGCTCCCTAAGCAGAACATATCAGCTTAAGTCACTTCCTTTTATTTTCAAATCTAGATTAAAAGAAAAAAGTTAAAGAGTGCCCCCAGTTGTTCAATTTACAGAGTATTTGTATATACTTAGGACGTGCTTTTCAAGCTACCTTGGGTTAAATTTATCTTCTTTTCTCTTCTTCAGTGGTGGTAAAGAGTGTGAGGGTGAGCTGCGGTATTATCCATTCCGTATGACGCCTTACCTGATGAAAGTCCAAGACACGGTTCACGCTGAAGACCAGTTCTGCTGCCTCCTCCTGGCTGAAAGGGTTCACTCCGGATATGATGGTAAGAATGCAACTGCAGGTTTGAGGC